GTAACTATATCACCCAACTGTTTTGTCCCATCCGACCGAAAGTAGTTGTGTTTCATAATCGGTTGTGTGTCAAGCTAAGGTAGGATTCAGTGTGGGTTCTAGTTTAGATCACACACACTGTAGCTCATGAGTGATGCAAGCACAAGTGAGGAGGAGCTACTAGTGGACGACTGTAGGACTACCCGCGGGACTGCCCGCAGTCGACCCTTGACATTCCTGGAGTTAGGTCCAGGAGACGAGAGAAGATTGAGGAGAGAGGCTAGAGAGAGGGAAGCGGCAAGGAGAGCGAGGGCAGTTGAGGACAGTGCTAGAGCTAGAATTACAGCTAGCATCAGTACAGCCATGGCTACCTCATCTATGACGCAATCCTCTACACAGCCCACTTCGTCAGGAGTCAGTCAGAGTGGTACTCAGGCAGCCACTAGTCAGATTGGTTAGGTGCGAGTCAGCCAATCTCCTATCACGCCAGAGGACTTGGAAATCCGGCAAGCAGAAGAACTTCAGGATGAGCTACAGCGGCAGATGGACGAAGTAGTAGAGAGGAGAAGGAAAGCTATGCAAAGAAAAGCTAGACTAGAGAGTAGAGCTCAGGAGCTAGGCAGATTGGAAAGACTGGATGAGTCAATATTGGATCCTGTTGTTCGTGTGTTGCGAGGAGCCTTACTTTCAGTAGCGGAAGCGCAAAGCGTCCAGCAGGAATTGTTGGCTGATTTGGTAGAAGGCCAAAAACAAATTCTGGCTGAACTTCGGGGCCCTCGCACAATGGTGAGGCAGCCGCCGTTTGCTGTAGTTCCCCCTGTAGGTGCGGGTCCATCATCGATGCCGCAACGCACAGGGCAAATTTTCTCTCCCATGTTTGGCATACCCTCCCCGGGTGGTTTAGTAGCAACTAGTGGTCCGGTTCATTCAGTCTCAGCCGTACCATCTACAACAGTGGTTACTACAGTCCCACTGTCCAGCCAGGCCCAGACTAGTGTGCAACAGCCTGTTTCAGTGGCTATGCAGCCGCTGTAGCAAGCACCTGGGCCCATGCAGCCGATGTAGTGGATGCCCAAGATACCTCTAATGAACCCCAAGCCTTTCTCTGGAGACAAGAAGAAGGAGGAAGACTTGGACACCTGGGTGAGGACTGTGCCTACTTATGTGAGGCACAAGCTCACAAGGCCAGAACAGGAAGTTGTGGTGGCTGCCTCCTTTTTAGAAGGATCAGCAGCCCGCTGGTTGAATGGCTTGGTGCAGCAACAGGGCTACGGTCAGGATTTCGATGCCTGGGCTCAGTCTCAGACATTGGAACAGTTCGTACGGTCCGTCTACAACAGGTGGAATGACCCGCA